CCATCCCTGGGGGGATTTAAAAGAAGGATAGATGAGGTGCTTAGGGCCAGGGTTTAGTGGTGGGATGGCAGGGTTAGGGGAACAGTTGGGCTTGGTGATCTTAAAGGGCTTTGCCAACCAAAATGATTCCATGGTTCTGTGATTCTAAGATTTCAGTGATGGTGTCAACCTTTTTCTTGTTTTTCTGCTCGTAGAAAGTTTTCCCAGTGAGGGAAGAGACGAGACCTCGCAGATGACACTCTTCCACCTGGAAGACAGTGAGTTGATTGCCAGCTGCTACTCAAGGGCTTCATTTTACCCCTTGCCTGTGCAGAGTTTATTACTAAAAGTGCGTTTGCCAGGAAGGTGGAGCTGCTTTTAGATTCACTGGCATTCATGCATGCTCTTTCACCGTTGTCTTGTTCCTCTGCCTTTGGAGCTGCATGAGGAACAGTGAAGCCGCTTTGATGTGCTTAAGTTAAGTTATCCAGTTAGTTACAGAAAGCACTACTTTAGCACAAAGAATGAAAGATTTTTGTGCTAAACCCAGAAGTTTCCGCAGACACGTGTAGGAGTTAAAAAAACGTTCCTGATGAGCCAAGATATTAAATCAAACTCAAGAAATCTCAGTAGGAAGCTTCAGTCCATGTCGTGGTTCTGACACCCTGGGAAGGCTGTGATTTGCCTGCAGGAAGCACGGCAGCTTTCCACGGCATTGTTGGCAAAGCAAAGTGTATTAATAACGATTATGGATGGGTTTGTTACTACAGCGGTGCACGCCAGATTATTATTTTTATCGAAAAAAAACCCAAACACTTTTTTTCACATCCTGTGAAAGGGTCCCAGCCTGAATTATGCTTGGGTTTGGTTAAGCCATACGTAACAGTTACTCCGCCTGAATTTTCCTTGCGAATGAGGGATGTAGAGAAGACCTGTAGTGTTATACGTGCAAATTATTTGGTGTAAAGGTGGTTGTTTACTGTCTAGTGATGTATCACCGTACCTGGCAAAAATGGCACCACAGAATAAAGACAGAACAAGGCAAAACTTGTAGATGAGGAGCAGACGATACCATGGCCACATTTACAAATGTGTTTACCTCCGTTCCTACCGATCCAGGCCTTGCTGTAAAACCCAACCCCTGCTCATTCACAGAAACAAGGGCCAGCGAGCACAGGGAGGCTGTTCGGGCAGAGCATGGAACCATAGGCTTGATGCTGAAAGTTGAACACCCCCCGGTTTTAGGCAGTGATGGTTTTTGTACGAGCACGGAGGAGAGCATCGTCTACAGCGCGCCGCTGGACGGCGGCCAGCTGGATGCGCCAAGCAGACGAGCACTCGCCCAAGGTAAGGAACTGCAAAACCAGCTCTAGGCTTTTGCTGCGGAGGTGGGTTTTTTTTTTAACTATGAAATCCACTCTCCTTACTGCGGTTTGTTGTCAGTTCTGACTAGCCGCGTAGCTAAGGCTGCTTACACTGAGTTCTCCGAACCCGCTGGGCAGCAGCTGCCTGACCTAACAGGGGCCTGGAATATTTACTGGTGAAGCTCTTTAATGTGTCAGGAATGATGCAATCAGCTGAAAGCTGTACTCAGTTTTTATTCAGGCAAACTCTTACACTGAGCTCCGATTTGAACACCGGCTGTTAGGACTCGGGTGCAGTAAAACCATGGCCAGGAAAGGTGTTAAAGAAACCAAAGGCCTGACAGGAAGGGGGAGCCAGGGGGTGTTGGTCGCTGCTCCCAGGGAATGGGTGATGGGACGAGGGGAAATGGCCTCAAGCTGTGCCAGGGCAGGTTTAGGTTGGACATTGGGAAAAATTCCTTCCCCGCAAGGGCTGTCAGGCGCTGGAAGGGGCTGCCCAGGGAAGGGGTCGAGTCCCCATCCCTGGGAGATTTAAAAGCCGGGCAGACGAGGTGCTTAGGGCCAGGGTTTGGTGGTGGGATGGCAGGGTTAGGGGAATGGTTGGGCTTGGGGAGCTTAAAGGGCTTTTCCAACCTGAATGATTCCATGGTTCCGTGATTCTGAGAACCTAAGTGGTGAATGCTGAAGCCTCAGACATTTTGGGTTTTTTTCTTCTAATGTGTTTGTGTCCTTTCAACCGTTCCTTGTAGATGCAGTTTTTGTCAGCTTTGCCCTCTCACATGAGGAGATATTCTACGCCAGGAAGTGCCACTTTTTCCTCACCGATGTCATCCTGGACTCCATAAGGCAGAAGGATCCCAAAGAAATTACGGCCAGAGTCGGGAGCCTGGTGCACAGGCTCTGGGTGGGTACGGGTGCCCCACAGCCTGGCCGAGCCCACCCTTGCCTTCTCCCCAGCTAGTGCCGTGTGCGGCTGATTCCAGCCCTGCTCTCACCCCAGTCCTTCTTAATCGCACTGATAATTAACCCCGGGCCGGGCCAGCCGGGGCCTTCCCCCGTCCAATGGGTAATTTCACCGGCACTGGCGAGCGTGCCCGCCTGTCGGTAGGACCGCATCCTGTTCTGTGTTTCAGACTCAGCAGATGACACCCAGGGACTTTGTTGCTGATTTACTGAGCACAGAGTATTTCACAGGGGACGGAAGCGTTCGTGACGCGCTGCTCCCATGGGTGGAAGTAAGTAGCGCTTGCCACCCAGCCACGCTGCGCGGCTGAGCCTTTGGGTCTCCCAAACACATTGGCCTTTTAAACTTGTTCACCGTCGCACTTCATTTGCAGAGCGAGTTACGGGTGTGCGGAGGGGGCATTTTACAGCACAACTTGACTCATCACACATTGTCTTAATAGAAGTTTAAAAATGTGCCGTTAATTTGATGAACTTAAAGGTCCTTTCCAACCCAAACCGTTGCATGATTCTATGACGCAGTGCGTAGGGCCAGGGTTTAGTGGTGGGATGGCAGGGTTAGGGGAGTGGCTGGGCTTGGGGACCTTAAAGGGCTTTTCCAACCTGAACGATTCTGTGATTCTGTGAGCTTAGCTGGCCACAAAAAGGCGGGCAGAGAATTTGCAGGGTTGTTGTTATGAGAGGAAGGGAGAGGGTGGTGCTGCCATTCTGCCGCCAGCGGGGGATTGACCAGGGGCTTTGTGCTTTTTCAGTTTACCCTGCCCTTGGCCTGGAAGTACAGCCGCTGCCTCGACCTCCTCATCCGGAGAGGGTTTGCTAGGTCAGTCTCATACCTTGCCTTGGAAATTTAAGTTTACACAACCTTAACAGAACTTTGACCCTGCTAACACATTTGTGAATATTAATTTGCCCAATAAAATTAGAATAGCAGTCAGAGGTGTGGAGCCATTCCTTCGCATTTTATTTTAAGCACATTTTGTGGATGCAGCACTTTGCTATTTTCGTTTTAAAACCTCTGCAGCTCTCCTGGAGCTGACACCTCTCACCATGCGAACTCCAGCGAGTCACCCTCGCATTCATCCTATCAAACCAACCAAACAAAACCCCCATCATTTCGGTGTCCACCTGTCCGTGTTCCGTCCCCCCCCATCCCTCCCCTGCGTATTTTGAGAGCATTCAGACGCCCCAGGAACAGCTCAGCCCAGTGCCCCTGCTGCAGGCCCAGGCCCCACGCTGTGAAATCGAGACACAACGCAGACAAGAGTCCTATAAAGAAAACCACCTTTATTGGACAAATCAAACCCTGAAAAAACCAGCGTCAGGTAAACATTACTAAAGGTTGTTCCAGCAACGCAGAAACCTTGGAAACGGAGAAATTCAGGAAGTGCCACATTCCCTCGGGGCCTTAGGAAATGCTCTCCCTCTTCTGACACAAGCTGCCACTGTCCCAACAGCCCCAAAATCTGGCATCAACTTAGCAATTATTTTAAAATAGGAACTTCTGAACGCGTCCCCGTGCAGCTGCTTCCCACACAACTTCACACAGAGGTGTCAAACTGTTAGCTCTGCTGTCTAAAAAAAGAATCAAGTTTAAAAAAACCCATCCAACATCTCAACACCAAACAAGTGCTTATGTACAGCACAGGACTTCCCGAGCAAGAAGGAGCACAGTCCATACCTCGAGGGAAGCTCAGGCAGCCGGGCTTTAACATGGGAGATGACAGCGCTGCTGAGGGCCAGGCACCTCCCCCACCCCAGCAGCTACAGGGAGAAAACCGCAGTTAAATAAACTGCTGCTCCATCCTCTTCCTCAGCTTCCCCCACTGCTCTCCCGGCTGGGGGAGCCCGACTCATAGCGCTTCATAAACCAGGAGTAAGCCAGGGGCGTGGCAGCAAGTAGCTACTGTTTCCAACAACACTGGGCTTCGTTTCCTCGCAGCCGCAGGGCGAGCTTTGGTGTAACTGGGGAACGGGCGGCCTCGGAGCACAGGGCACATCTGCGCGCCATCAAACACCGCCCAGCTGAGGTTCAGCATTAGAATCGCCCTGTTGGACTCCAAACCTGTTGGTCTCAGATGCCACGGCCACCTATGGCTCCTCAAACCTGCCGCCATGGTGGGACTGAAGTACCCAGAGAGGGGCCGAGGCAGAGGCAAAGGGAGCAGTGAGGCCCCATCACCCCAAAACCCAGGACAAGGCCCTTGGAATTTTGCCACTCGTGCCCTGCGTGACTGAAACCTGACCCAGCGGGGGCAGAGACACTCGCCCCTGGGCTATTAAGGGGCTTAAATGGGAGCCAGGAACAGGGGGGTTCCCTCCCCTCACTGCCTGGCTGCTCCAAAGGCCCCGCTCAGCCTTCCCCCTGGCCTCGGGGAAGCCTCCGCACAGCGCCCAGCTGGGATCTTCCCCGCTCCCGGGGAACACACTCAGGTTCTACCTGGTTCAGCTGGCAGGGAGTTAGCGTGGGGATTGCTCGGGGAGAGGCGGTTAAGACAGAGATAAGCTCAGCACCAAGGCACCGGAATAATCAGCTGAAGGAAGAAGTCACTGTGACGATGAAATTGCTTTTATTAAAACAGAAGTGTTAAGCCAAGAAAATAAATTACTGCTACGACAGCCATATTTAGAGCATGAGGAAGGACGTTAAATCTTGAGCTCCAGGTCAATATAAGCCTGAAACAGAAAGTTACACTACTTCTCTTAAATACCTCAGTTTCTCTTCATGCCCTTCCAAAAACTTTATAAAATGTGCAGCTTGCAGAACAAATGGTAACAGAGTCACTTGTAACAAAAATCTGTACAGCTCATAGCTTCAAAAATAATACTTTTTTTTCTTTTTCTTTTCCCCCCCAAAACAGCGATGTTCCTCATCACTCATAAATACAGGGCTAACAAGTTTTGAATGCCCGAGGTCCCATCCAACACCAAAGCAATTATGTGCAGCTGACAGAAACCTCCTTGGGACTTCCCCCCCGCCCCAGCCTGAGGTCAGGGTTTGGAGTGTCTGAAAGAGCCTGATTATGTATTTTAAAAAAAAAAAAAAAACAAAAAACAAAAAACAAAACAAAAACCAAAACCCAAAAAACTCTTCATCGGTGAAGACTGTCTCTCCTCCTGCTGGTCAGAGGCCTGGGGTCTTCAGGGAGTTTGAAATGGCAATCAAACCTGGAACACAGCACCGTGCAATGGGTTAGACCGGCTGCACTCCTACGGCGGGGCAGGATCTGTCCCGGCCAGCAGCGATTTTGCAAAACCCCAGTTTGTCACAGCTGCATTTTGGTGGGGAAAGAATGTTTTAGCACAAGGGCCTGGCAGGAGAAGCGCGGCTCTTTCCCCACGCAGAGGGCTGCACCCGCACCTCGGGACGTGCCCAAAGGCCGCCTCTGCACCTCAGGATGTGCCCAAAGGCTGGGTGCTGCTGTCCCAGCGGCAGCAGGCCAGCAAACCCCACTCCTCCTGCGGCCACTTCAAAGGTCCTGTCTGTGACCCCCCTGCCCCTCCCCAGAAGGGGCTCTGGATCTTAAATTTTAGCCTCGTCTGGTTCTGTTCAGCTGGTTGTGAACTCCTGCAGATCACAAGCTGTGGGCCTGCGGGCTTGTAACACCCCCACAGGGCCAAGCCACCAACCACCCTGCACCTTGACCACTGATCCCCTGTGGAAAGGAGGCTCAGCCCCACGGACAGGGAGCGGAACCAGAAGCAGGTTAGTTTGAGCGGGGCGAGACACTGCTTTCCCAGGGCTGCCACCCATGCATAGAAAGCCCCACTTGGCTGCGTCTCTTGCCAGGGCTCATCCCCCCCCCTTCCTCAGAGCAATCTCCTCACAGACGCAGCATCCTCCCAAAATCAGTAAGTGAGGGAGCAACAACCAGCAGCTCCCTCAGACATCCTGACCGTAACCTAGCAGGTGTCTTTGCCTGGCCCCGCGTGGTTTCCTTTGGAGGTTCAAAGGAAACTGTGCAATAAAGGCAGCTTGGGGAGAAAGCCGTGGATTCCCCAAGGCAGCTCAGAGGGACTAAGGAAGAGCAGGATTTTGGCAAACAGCCGCAAGAAAGGGATTAGTGGTTAGACAGCTGGGCAGCACTCGGAGGAAAGCGGCTCATCTGAACACTGATGGTGGTGCTCAAGCCTGTGACCCAAAAGTGATTTTGCTTGTTTTGTTTCTGCTCCTTCACACCCGGGAGGCATGGGCTGCACAAGGCGACGGCTCCATGGGAGCCGGCCTTCTCCAACCAGATGAATCAGAGCCTCCGATACTGGTCAGGAATGTGCATGGAAAACTTCTCATCGAGAAGGGGAGGGCAAGGTTCTCCTGACTCAGAGCTACTGCCAGACCTGCCCAGCACTCAGAGCTGCTGGAAAATCCCCTTCAGGGGCTACTTACAACAACTCCACTTCCTTAGGCGGTAAACGTGTGCCGAGGGGCTCACACTACTGTTGAGGGGCTTATGGCGACCTGGCCTGCTTTCTGCAGAGGAGAGAAGCCAGCATTAGTATGGGGTTAGAGGACAACAGCATCAGGACATGATCTAGCTGGAAGGGAAGTGGCTGAGAACTCTAAGGAACAGAAGAGGAGACATGCTGACATCGCAGAGCAACAGGCTCCCGCTCATCCATCTCATCACTCCCCAAAAAAGGCCCAAACCTCCCAGGGAAGGGGCTCAGCAGCATCTGCAGCAGAGCTCTGTCCATCCCAGGAGGTTACGCAGGTACCCCTGCCCATGACAGCGTTAAAGCTCCTGCGTGAGCAGCGTCCCCTCCTGGTGTAGCCTCCAGCACTGCAGGTCCTTTCCAGTGCATCTCCTGGGGGATCTGGGCCCTCACAGCAGAGGGAGGCTCTCGCGGCAGAGGGGCTGTTGCCTGCCCCGGAGGCGGTGAGTCTCTGCAGGAGGAAAGGTCACTTCCCCACAGTGACTCCTAGCCCAAAAGCAGCATCTTCAGCCCCCCGAGGGGCAGTGGCTTGAACCGGGGAGGCACTTGCAGGAACGGGCAAAGCGAAGAGAGGATTTGGGCCACTTGCACTTACTGCAGAAATGTACTGGCTGTTTGTGAACCTGGGTTTCTCCTCCATCGCAGAGCTGTGTTGTGAGCCTAGGGGCATGTAGGGGGGTGAGCCCATGTCTTCACAGAAGCTTTCTTGTGGGATGCTGGAGACGCAGCCGCTGTCAGAGCCGCTGGAGCCACTGCCTGACATGCAGTGCGAGGACTCCGAGCTCTCTGTTGCTGGGGGAAGAGAGGAAAGTCATTCTGATGCCCGTGAATTTGGCTTACACTACCCATGCCACATATACTTGATAAGGTATCTGTTTGCAGAGGCACTGGCCAGAAGCCCACAAATAGGCCACACTCCTGCCTGGGCCTCTTAAAGCCATTAAGCAACAAAATAACCCAAGGAAGTGTAGAAAATAATACCAGAGATTAGTATTGGGAATTTCACACAGAGGAAGCCAAGGGGTCACTGGATGGGGCTGGCGAGAGCAAAGGATGGAGCGGCTGGTACCAGAGGGGCAGGCGGGCAGAGACACAAGCACTGGTCTCCAAGGCCAGAGCAGCCCCAGTAAGCCTGCCACTGGGATGGCTGCAGGTCGGCTTTACTAATCCCTGTGTCTGAGCTAACGCCCCCCCATGAAAGCCGAGGCAGAGCTGGCGTGGAAGGACAGGGCCCTCCCTGCCCCAGTTTGGCTATGGGGCAGGGACTGCCATGACCCCAGTGAGCCCGGTCTGACTGCACAGCGCAGAGCAAGGTGCGGGGATGAGCTCGCATGCTCTGGGGTGCGCTGAAGAACAGCGGGATCGTACGTACTCAGGGACGGCTGGCTGCTGGTCTCATGCTCCAGCTCATCTTCCTCGA